GGCTGCCATGCCCAACGCCCTTTGATTATGTGGCTGTGATAGCCCAGCTTTGTTGTTTTCCTTTTTTTTGGCCTCGTAACGAAGGCGAGCCAGAAAAACTTGGAGCAGAGCACTTCTCATTAGAATGCTTCACAGCGCAGATTTGACAAGACGTCCGCCTAAATACAGACAGCATTTTTCCTCCCGAAAACCAAACCGCACCTCGCATCCATTCCCCTGCTTGTTATACCCTTTCGAGAGGTCTTGTAGTTTCGATGACAAGTTTGCTGCCTTAAGAAAACATTTTTTCCTTTTTTGGTATTTTTGTTTAGTGTGGAGACAAAGTTTAGTGGTAAATCATCTTGCAATCTTTCATTCTGAGACATTAAACAACCCAAAAAAATATATTTTTAAAAATAAAAAGTATTATATTGAGATAAATCAGAATTTATTCATATATTAATTTGAAAGGTTTTTAAATTGGGCCAGAAAATTATGCTTTAGAGAGTATTTAAGCCTTCGAACTCTTGGGAATCTCCTTGCTTTGAATTTGAGTCAGTTGCCTCACCTCAGCACGCAAGCACGCATTTCTTGTCGCTGTCCTTGTTGTTACAGCTGCGCATTTTTAAACAAGATTAAAGCGCGCACGTCGTCAACATTTTAGAGTGTGAGCCAAATGGGTGCTGCGAAAATGCGGATGGCGGTTGAGTGGTGCGAGGTGGTTCGTGGTGGTGCGTGGAGGGGTGGCATTGCTGCCGGCAATTTGTTGACTTGACTGCAAATGTGTCGCATCTTAATGCGCTGTTATTAAATATGCCACAGCAAATGGAAACCAGAATACAGCAACAGCACCAACAAGGAAGCGTAGGAAAAATTGTACAATGTTGAATCAAAGCGGAGACTTTTCCATTTTGTGTTCTGGATGATGGCAGGGATGATCAGATCGGAACCAAAATATATTCTATGAAGCTACATTTAAGCCCGAATTATTAAAAGCATTAAATATAATAATTGGTTTTACAAATAAGATCATCTGGTATTTGTTTTTAAGCAAAGCTAGGAAGTTCTACAAAAGAATTTGTATTTTTCATATGACCTAAGTAATTTATGTATTCAGCTTAACCTATTTTTTAATTTATTCAGCCCAATGTGTTTTCGATTTTTTTTTCTCTACCAATTAGTTAATTATACCAAAGTAATTTATACTACTAGCCAAATGAAAAATGGCTTAAACTTTCGCTTTAGTCTTCAGCTCCATTGTGCAACACAGTACGACAGCAAATGGAAATTATAATTGTGTTAACCGCATTTCGAGTCCCCGCTTATAATTTGTTCGAATACCGTTTCTGTGATGATTATTTTCGTATGCTGATTTTATTGAAATAATTAAGCGCGGAAAATGCCGAAGGTGCGCAATTCATTGATGACCCAAAAGTGACACTTGCACATTCATTTATTGCACTTATATTCGATTTTATTTTTTTTTTTTGTGGGCGTGTGCGCTGGATTTAAATTGCATTCTGTTCGAAAGTGTCCGATGGCCGATGCCTGTTTGCAATAAATTCGCTTAATGAAGTTTTAAAAAATGCCAACTGCTTGTGGGCACGGTCACTGCAATCCACGTGTTATGTAGGAAATGCATTTAATGTAATTATTTCTTTAATTAAAATATTTAGCGCAACAGCAGGGGCAGCAACAACAACAACAATGTCGCGAGGAGCGCCGACGTTTACAATTTGCACAAAAGTCACGTCGTTGCTGTTATTATTGTTAATGTTGTTATAATGCCTCGAATCGACCATTCAGCTTAATTGAAACCATTAAAAATATCGTTGCAATCGGCTGAAAGTTGCATACTTCTGGGGGATCACGTGATTAAAATTAAATTCCATTTATACATTTTTTAAATTTACTACTCAATAAAAGCTCTGTTATCTGCTGATTTGAATTAATTTCAAGCTTATTGGATAACCCTTTGCCTGCTGATTTTCAACTACTTGAAAATTCCATTCACAACTTCAACTGCATCATGGCAGATATAAGGGGAACCCTGCTGCTAAAAAAAACCTCCCCAAATACCCATTCATTTCTTCAGTTGGACGAGTGCCAGGCAAAGGTTAATTTACTTGAAAAATTCCAGAAAGCTTATTCTTAACAAATATGCGAGCAATTGCTTAGCTTACTTTTCAGGCGAATTGAATTGGCTTGAGGTACAAAAGAAACTGAGATGGAATGAAGGCAGGGGGGAATAAAATAGCTACGTAGCACTAACAACTGCGCTGATTTATCTGCACAAATTGCCAACTGAAATTAATAAGAGAAATCAGTTTACCATTTCCTGTCGACTACGACGATGAGGACGAGGACGACAAAAATACTAGAAAAATGCCAACTAATAGTCCATTGTCGACGTCGTTGCTAGAATTCTTGAGAGTGGGGAGTGGAAATGAATAGACATTCCAATAACTGTACAACATCCGGTTGCATATACACACAACCACACACACATACACCTACAAGGCCAAAACACAATGGCAAAAACGTTTCCATTTTCAATGGGGAAATATTTCTATTTCAACATGAAAATATTTTTTAGCAGCCTTTTGTGTGGGATATCTAAACGACTCTTCACCTGACGAAGACCAGATAAAAATTTCTGCTTCAGCAGAAAAAACTGATCACAAGAAATATACAAAAAAAAAAAAAAACCAAGAAAAATTCAATCTTAATCCAGTGGCTCGGCAGGATATTTTTTATAGACAGAAAAGTAACTAACAAGAGTAGAGCAACGAGAAAAGTAGAAAAAAAAACCAAAATGGATGCCATGCACTTAGACCTTAGGTATAGCTTTTCTGAATGGAACCAGTGACGTATGCACTTGACTTGACTTGCACATTTGCGGTGGCAGAAAGCCTCTGGAACTCAATTCGAGTCACAGCCCAAGCCAAATCCGAAGAAAAATAGTTATTGTTAGAGCAACGAGGACATCGCCTGCGACGAAGGCAGTAAGTAGCTTTATTATGGGATTTTAAGTTATTACACCGGTGGTTCGATGGCAAAGGGGATGCTCGGGGCGCAGGGAAAGAGGATCTGGCAGCGATGATAATCGGGGTGCCATTGCGAGCACTCACATATGCGACTCCTTGCACTTGAATGCAGAACTTGGCCCATGTGATGACGTGATGCCTTCTGGCCTACAGGCGAATTTGTCATCATGATTCGTAAGAAATTCAATTCGTCTTACTTTCCTTTATTTGGTTTTTGGTATTTGGTATTTGCATTGCTATGTGGATAAGATTGCGGAGTTCTTTTTATATAAAGATTAAAAATTTAAAAAGTTATTTCTTGTGCATTACAAAGAGTTTTTAAATAGGTGATCAAAAGTATGCAATAACCAAATTAACTTAATCTTTCGAAATAAATAAATTAAATAAATAAATTATACATATAAGGACCTAGTGTTTTCTGTGGCACGGCTATATGTAAGAAACCTTGTTTAAATTCCCTGGTTATATTTGGAATCTACCGAATCAACGTTAAAGATGATTTATACATATTTGTTCTTATAAAGTTTTTAGTTTTTTACAACGTTCAGTCACTTATTGTTATTTTAATGCATGTTGGACATTTCTTAATGCCTAAATAATTTGAAATTCACTTAAAACTTTCCCTAGAGGATACAAATGTTTCGTTTTGCTAGCCAAACACTCCAAACCCCCGAAGTACCCTTAAAAGTCAACTGCCAGTTTTTTGACAGTTTATTTCATAAGATTCGGATACTGATACTTTTTATGTGTTTCCCCGCCTTGACCCAGTTAATAATTCAGTACAATACATTAGGCGACAACGAGTGTCCTGTCCGCCCCTTGGCACATCAGTTTGGGTGTCAGTATTTGACACTAAGACTAATTTAATGGAAAATTTCCGAGTGGAGAACTTGAAATTTGTGTTTATCGCGACACGCAATGGACGCGTTTTTGCCGCGAGCCAACATTCAACGTAACGAAACACAGGATATAGCACCCGGCTCATGTGGTTCATATTTTAGCTGACATATCCATTTATCTATTTATATGCAAATGCCACACCTCCCGTGATGCGAAGTGAAACCCCTCACCTGTCGCCTGAACTACTCATCCTGTGTGCGTGCCGTGCCAAAGTCAAAGTCGAGGAATGTTCCTTTGTTGTTTCGGCATTCTGCAACAATAAATCACGGCACCTATGCTGATGGCGCGGGGGCTCGGCGGGGTAAAAACTAATAAATCTAGGGCCAATTAATTGACTTAACTGCTGCTGGCAAAGGCAGAGACCAAAGATGAGGCAGCGGCAAAGCCAATGGCAACGGCAAAGACTCCAAAGGGTCGCAATTTATGGGCGCACCATCAACTTGAACCCGCACATAATAAATCATAACATTTTACAGATAATAGAAAACCTCACACATGTCCAAACAATCGGAGTCCCTAAGCCCTTCCCCCCCACGAAAATTCCCGGCGGCTAGAAATTTTAATAAACCGCAAAGAGTTTGGCACGAGCAGTAGTGGGAATAAAAATTGTTTCACATAATTTATGCCGCCTTAGAGGAAAACTTAACACGAGGCAACATGGGGGCGGACCCAAGGAACAGAAGAATGTTTCCCAGGATGCGTATCCGCCGGCGTCTTTTCGATCAAATCTAACTTTATTCCGTTCAGTTTGTGTGGGATTTCTGATAGTGTGGGTGCTCACTCGACCTGGCAGTCAGTTCCGTTGAACTTCATATGTACCCTAATCAGTTCTCATCCTAAATTCTGTTTTTAAGTTGTAAGCGAAGTTTATCAGTAAAATAAGTGAAAGGGTGTGTGTTTTTATAATACCATTACCAAAAAGGTAAGTGTAACGAAAACATTTATAAAGTTTCTTAAGAAGGAAGTAAGTGCTCGGCAGAAAAACGGAAAAGTCCAGTATATAATCGAAATTTTTGACAGTCGTCCAAAATTTTTCAGATCTAGCAATCCTTGAATATGCAATCGTGCATAACTTGCTTTTCGAATCAGTTTTCGTCAACACGTAAGCAAGGGAACACCTTCGATTCTCCATAAATTTTTCGGTAGTGTGTAAAATTTCAAGTTTTCAATTGGCAAGTGGCAAGTTGCATGTGAACTAGACGGAAAAATAACAAACGCAGTAAGTCAAAGTCAAAAGCGAGGTTGTGGGGCGTGTTGCACAAAAGTGTTGCAAGTCGGAACGGAAACTCGCCGGCCACGCCTCTTTTTGGCGGTCCGCGTGTTTGTCTAGATGTCGGATGGATGTGGATGTGTAAGGGGATGTAGCCCTCCTATCTGGCCTTAAGCTAATGCCGGGGGCAGCCCGTCGACAGGCGAAGGCCGTCCACCTTGCCACGCCCCACGCCTTGTAATGACGTCATTTACATGCTGCTGTAACAAGACTGGCAATTACATAACTCATAGTGTGGGGTTTCGCCGGAAGATAGTTAATCTAGGGCCGCCACTCTTGATTTCTTTCTTTGGCTTTCACGGCATCGTAAATAAATTACACGCTCCTGATTGATCAACTTTTGGCCCGATGACAACCATAAAGGGGCAAGCAGGCAAAGTGGGGACACTGTCGTTGTGGCCGAAAACGTCGAGGCAGCCGCTCGTAAACATAAATCCAAGTGACGCTAATTGTTTGTTGCAATTACTGCTGCAGTTGTTGCCACCGTTCAGTTACGTGTGCAGTCAGCAGCCAGCAGAATGCAGCCAGCAGCCTGCAGCATGCAGCCTGTAGCCAAAATGGGGGCAATAAGGGGTTAAACGACAGTGACGGGGGGGGACTGTGTTTGCATGCAAATTTTAGTTGCATCTGCAGTTGCTGCCGCTGTTGATGCTGCAGCAACGGCAAACAATTACTCAAACATTGTTGCAACTGCTGCTGCTGCTGCTGCTGATGCTGCTGATGCTGATGTTGCTGGCGTGCAACTCGTTGTGCGTGCTAAATGGCAACTACTCTGGCGGCTAATGATAATCACTCGACGCCCTCGGCTCTTACTTAGTTTAACCTGCTTTGCTTTTGCCTTTATGGCCATTTTATCTCTTCGTCAATGGCCTAATAAAAATGGTTTTTGTTTAGTCAAGAGTTCCGGTCGACAACGCATTGTTTAAAAGCGATTTTAGGGCTCTTTGCATTATTCCCACGTGGGTGGGGGAATGCATAAATAAGTGGTCTTACCTCTCAAGTTGTCATCTTTCGACAGCCCCAGCATATCTCCTGCCAGGCGGGGAATAATGCCATTTAATATTCCATATAATTGGCTATCCAGAAGATGAATTTGAAGTTTGCATGCTGAGGCACGACCAGCATAGCTCACTACAAATGAGGCATAAACAAAGGAGATCTGGGTTGCAAGTGGCTGCTTAGTGGGGTTGTTCGGTTCGAGAAACATCTACAGGGATTGGGATCCTATAGCGCACAGCTGGTTAGAGATTCGAGTTTATGCTTAACCACAAGAATTCCAAATTAATAATTCAAATTAATATTTTTGGTGCAACCAATTCCAGATTTGAAGAGGCACAGAAGGCAAGCAGAAATGGCACAACTAATTATAAAGAATTAGAGCCTTAAATCCGAAATCGATTTGATAAATTCGCTTTGCCAGAGCTCTAAATTAGTCATAAATCGGAAGGCTGCTTATCTTTTGTTTCTTTAGTTTCCAGGCCAATTTTAAATATTTAAATTTCATACCCAATTGCGGTTAAACATAAAAAAAAGAACGTTTAAATGCCGTTTTTCTATGCTTATTTTCCACACACCCCTAACCATTTGCTGACGGTGACTAATTTGGGCTACAAAACCATAAGGGGACATGAACATTTCGCCGACAATTAAATAAACAGTACTTAATACCCCCTGGTCTTGGGTCTCAACCGACACTTCTAGACCCACGCATACACATGGTGACTAAACTGTCGGCTGTCGAGTGGCAGTTTGCAACTGTAAAGTGATATTAATTATGGGCTTTGTTGCAGTTGCAACCGCCTGTCGCCTGCACTCCAGGTTTTGGTCCTGGTCCGGGCGTAAGCCAAAGGATGAGGCTTTTGGGCTTTTGGGCAGGGATGAGGCGCTCCTCTTATGGTTCCGGCCTCGGGTTCCTCGCTGATTAAGTGACTTTTCGACAGGACACAACTCTGCGGTCTCTGGGGCAGGCACTCACTACATCAGTTTCCCTTCATGCAGGACAAACTAATTTTATTGCACTTAATAGTGGACATAGTGGACACAAATGGGCAGTTGAGAGGGGAGCGCCAAAAACGATCTACTTTTATACTTTATTTTTCTTTATTTTTCATACTCAGATTGAATATGTCCTTTAGCAAGTCAGAAGAAGTGGGCGGAATCCATAACATGAGTAACAGATCGTTGGTAAAGAATGGATTTTTTAATTATTTGCGCGGCTTCTGTCAACGCAATAGTGCCCTGAGCTGACCGGAAATCGCAAGGGAGAGGCGATGGTAAGTCGTTTTCGTAAGCTTGGACTTGAATATAGGTTTTATTTCGCTCCCTTACAGGCCTGCAGGGTGGCCACCAGTCCGCGTCATAAGCGTCGTCGTGTTTGCAATATGCACTGAAATTCCCTCGATCGATCGAGTCATGCCATAAAATCCATAGAAGTCCACGTTTCCTGTTTGATGAATTGATCATGCGACTTCTGTCTGCAGTTCGAGATAATTTTTATCTAAGATTTATAGCCATGGGATATGCCAATTATGTAACTATTCTGTTTTGCTTAACTTAAATAATTGTTTTATTAAACAATTTGATTATTTTTTGTGGAACAGAAAGCAGTTAGGGTTGAGGCTTTTGAAGTATGCTTTAATAAAATATACTTTTGATGGCTTTAGAATATGTAGAATGGTTCAAAGGCATGTCATAAAAAATAAATCAGTGAAAACAAACAATCCAACGATCAAAGTTCCGATTTTGGTTTAATGCAGTGTAATTGAGGAATGTAAGATGAAATTTAATAGTATTAAAAATGCAGCATAAGTAATTAGTTTTTGTAAAACAGCATGGCTCCAAGAATACCGAGCATTAGATACATTTGTACCTCTCGTTTCGGTTAAAATAGCACGTGTAAGTGTTTATGCAGCTGAACCGGCTCGTGCAGGAAATTCAATTTATTATTCCACTATATGAGCTTTCGCACTTAACTTGCATGAATAGATAATGAGCTATCTGCCGTGTAAGTGGAACGGTGGAGGCTGCCATCGCTGAACAGTAAATGGGAATGGGAATGCGAATGGAAATGGTAATGGGGTTTTCGACGGCAGAAGATTGGAGCCGAAGGTATCGCAGTTGCGTGCTGGAAGCTTTCACTGAGTTCTCTGACCCGGCGCCTGTTGTGAGACGGCTAAATTGAATTATTAATAACACGCAGCGCGCGCAATGCAACGGATGCTATAACCCCGTTTTCTGCGAATATATATGAGTATATAATGCATTTTGTGGTTTTGTGGAGACAACCTTGGGACAGTTGGCCAAAATAAACAACAACGAAAAGGGCGAAGTGAACGGACTAATCGCACCACTTACGACCATAATTTGTCAATTTTCGAAACAATTCCCCAAGCTCGCATAAATTGTCTGCTGGCCTCCTGTCTCTTTTTCCCTGTCGCTGGCTTTTGGCACCCATTACAGCTCATTTCTCTTACTCAGAGGAACATTGCGCAGTGAAAAATGAAAGTGAACCCGAAACACCACTGACGAACTGAAGCGGCCTTGTTTCGAAAAAAAGACGAAATAAAAGGCATTTAAATGCCGCTGTGTGCATAAATTACTCAGGAGTTGACATTTTCCCACATAAATGTGTAAATGAGTCTCAGTTTTCGCGGTTTTTCCAGTTCTGTTGTGAACAAAAAATTGAAATGCATTCGGGGATCGAGTCGGAGTCCTTGGGTTTTTTCGGCTGTAACTTGTTGCTTTCGCTGATTGAAGATGTGGCTGATATATGAATTTCAACGCAGGGCCAAAAGGGGAAATTGTATATTCTGAAAAAATGCGGGCATTAACATGTCGACATACATACTATTCTTTTTGGGCTATTCTTTTAAAAATGTAGATGCCCTGTGATAGACTAAAATAAATTTGTAATAAAATCAAACATTTGTCACTCAATATAGTCCCCAATCGAATAAGTTTAATGGACATTTACTAAAAGCCATGTTAAATAAAAATTCACTTAGCTAACAAGAAAGGAAAACGAAAAAAAAATCGCTAGTCTTTTGTTTTTTTTCGGGCAAAAAGGAAATGTACGGAAAATTACCGCCCCTTTGTGCATTTGGCCCCAAGATAACTGCCGGCCAAATGACACACATTAGGGCCAAGGTGTACCATATTTGGAGGGAGGCTGGGTCGGCTTATGTGTGCGAAATCAATTCAAGCTCGATTTCCTTTGATGAAATGGTAAGTGAGCGTGTGCATGTGCTCAGGCCGTGGCAGTCGTACGTGACAGTTATTCGTAAATGGCCCAAACACGAACAAATTACTAAAAATAAAAAGGTAGCTACACTGAAATGTGGAAGGTGTGGCATGAGTGGGCGCAGCTCTTAAAAGCGTGCTGTAGAATATTGATCCGAAAATCGTTCAATTAATAACGCAAATCCTTTATGGTCAGTTACCAGGAACAGTTGGCCGTTAATTAATGCACTTGTCTGTGCCAGCCCCCGATCGCCTTATCTCCCCCTTCCCGCCTGCTGCTATGATTAATGCTTAATTAAGTTTGCAGCATTTAAAAAAAAATACCAGAATCGGCAGCCCTGCCGAAGGATTACATCATATTTAATCAGAGTCATTATTTATAATGATACCGCCTGCATGAGGCATTATAGTCAGTGCTCCTGAAATATGCCACAAGTTATCAAAAGCCCGAAGTAAGCGCCATTTCATAAGAGCGTTAATAAGTGAATTTCATGGAAGCCCCGTAGATGTTCTGCAAATTAATTTCATGGGAGCTTTGGGTTTGCATGACATTAAAGTGAATATGTCTTACTCTTAATTTATGTCACCAAATGATTTCGTATTGAGATGACTGGACTAGTTCGTTTATGGGACAATCTACTACTGAAGTTCCATAAATAGTTGCTTTTACTTTAAATATTTTATTGTCATATTGAAATTAAATTAATCACTGGCGAAGGTCATTCAAGAATTGGGAATACCTTTCCATGAAACTCGTGCATGCAGAAAAACTAAAGCCATCCTTATCGTTGGAGTGGGCCAAAGTGCAGTTTTCCGTTCGAGTTGAAGTAAATTAATTAACAATGTTTATTGTTTGTTTTATATGCGAATATTCCCCTGCAGTTGCCATTGTGTGGTCGTAGTATTCGTAACCCTTATTGCTGCTGCTGTAGTTGTTGCAGTTGTCGCTGCAGTTTCTGATGTTTGTGGCCGCTTTGCCTGACTGACAGTCAATTTGCAGCCGCACTTAAAATGTGCAGAAATGTTTTACATTATTTGCACATGCTGAAAATGTAAATTAAATTATTTTGTTTTGCCTCAACTATTGCACAGCTTTGATTCCGGCATGCATCTTCATCAAGCACTTTGGTCAATGGAATAATCTGTTAATTGGTAATTGTAGGCCTTTAGCCAACGAACAAGCCTGATAATACCTGCGGCCAGATACTCTTAATTATAAGCATAATAATTGACGTGACCCCTAGGAAAAGCTGGGCTGCTTCTTAATAAATGGCCTTGCCAGAGATACTTTAAGTTAAAGGGATTCCATTCAATAGAAAGCTGGGAAGGCAATTTTGAATTAAATCAAGCAGTTAATGTGAAATTTGGCTTTGACTCTGGGCAAATATGTGAGTTCTAATTATTCTGAGTTTACTAAGGTCACTAATTTTATGTCTATGGCATGAAAGTGCACCTGCGCTGTACGTCAACACAATCAAATCATTTTAATCAACTCAAGCATTTTATTGTCTATCAATCTAAATTTTGTTTTAGAAAACCTGTCCAAAATTAGAAATATTTTTCAGGCCAACCAGTTACTATGACCGATGTGCATGAGTTAGTCGTGACGTGCATCATTTTTCTTTACCAGATACTCTTGGTTTTCGTAAGCCATAATATCTGCTTTATTTTAGCTATTTAATCTTAAGTTAATGCTTACAACTAGCGATCCATTCATCCCTTGAAAAAAGACGCCCTGCTGATTGTCCTGCACAACTTACTGCTTTACTATGTGATCAATATGTTCAAGCACCTGGCTCAGGGTGTGTTCTTATATAACTACCGGTTAGCATAACCTTCTGATCCATTTTTTTTTTAACAGCTTCCATTGACTCGGACGGACCGGTGAACACCTTCTACTATGTACCTCTGGTTTACGAAGAGAGCGTTGCTGTGGGTTCCCAAAGGAGGTGGCATGAGGTCCTCAGGTCAACCAGCTGGCAGTTCTTTGAGGTCCTTTTCCGACATCATTTGGCCCTGCTGTTGCCGTTTAATTTGGCCCTCCTGGTGCCGGTAAGAAGTGGTTGTTCTTTGTCTTTGTGGCCACTCTACTTCGATTTCGTTGCAGCGCTGCAAGTTGGCCTTCATTAGCACCTTGGTGCTGGTGTCAAACTTCCTGATGTTCGTCTGCTTTGCCTCGGCCATTTGTCGGCTGGTGGTGACCCATGGCCACGCCCACAGCCTGCGCCTCCTCACGATCCTGGCCTTGGGACCCGCATGCCAAGTGCTTGTGGTGTGCCGCCTCTTGGGCCGAATGTGGGTGAGTCCTTCGCATCCGCATTTCCATGTGACCACCTCATCTTTAATTTGGCCATGTTCCCTTAGCTCAGTCGGTGGATTGTTGTTTGAGGCATGAAATTTGATTTGCCGGCACTGATTGCTGGCCAAAAGCGATCGAAAACACACAGCGTAATCAGCAGCCAAGAAGTTAGGAGCAGCAAATCAAAGCAATAAACCAACTGAACCCATCTGAAAATCACTTTCACTGCACAAACTGCCAAACTGCAGGCATTTATGACAGGCCACCCGGTCGGTGGATAGCGGGGGAGAGGGAGGAGGGTGGCCAAAATCGCATAACAAAATTGTTGCTGAAAAGTTGAACAAATATTGAGGTCAGCAGAATGTCGAGCAGAGTCTCGAGCCGAATCGACTGGGCATTGTTGGTAGTGCAAACTGTTTGCTAGCCTTTGGCACAAACTCCCGACACATTGCGTCCCGCTGTCTGGAAGCCATGACTCTGACTGGGGCTCCAAAAGTCCTCGTTCGGGGCCTCTCCAGGCCCAGCTCCAAAAATATTCAATGAAAATCGGCAGTCGACAGTCCCCTCTTTGTCAATAATACAAAATGGGAAAAAATGAGTTGTTGCTGCCGCAGCCCGAGTTTGCATGGCGCAATGCAGACTTCGACGTTGCCCGGGGGGCCGGTTGCGATGCCGTCTGCCCTGACAGCCCACCACCGTCCCTGCCCTTGCCCCGCCCCTTTTTGGCGCCTCTGGGCCACCCTCCAATCCTCCACGCTCCGAAGCCCCCGAAATGCCAGCTGCCTTCACTTCGAATTGAGAAATTGCCGCAAATGCTTTTCGATTTTTCGTTTTCCTCGGACAAGCCTTGGCTTTTCATATTGCATAATTGATTGTGGGTGTGCGAGCGAGCGGGTGTGTGAGTTGCATAAATACCAAGCAGACGGCATTGTCACCACCCGGCCACCTCCTCCTCCTCCGCCCCCTTCAACCAGCTCTGCCAGCATTTATGCACACTTTCAATATGCATTCAGATTCAGATGCATTGGGCATGCATTGATTTCCGCAGAGGGCCAGAAAAGAGCATTGCCAAGTTGGCGTGTTGTGTTTACGCTTTCTTTGGTAATAATTAAATTGCGGAACTTTTAAATGAATTTCTCAGAATATCAACAAGTTCTTTTGCAACTAACTTTAGCGGAAAAAAACTTTATTTTTCATTACTTAAGCTTTGACAGACTTTTAGATTGAATTCAAAGGCTTTTCTTTAGTTTTTATATAACCTTAAATTGCAGTGCTTAAATTTTCAGTAAATCCGACTTTATTTAAAAATCAGAACATTTTTTTTTTTATTTAAGGAGGACTTTTTGCAGCGATACAGATGGATTTTTTCAGCGTTTGACGTGTAGGTTAACATTGCTTGGCATTCAATGCAAACGAAGAAATTTAATTGAACAATCAAAAATGTGTAAAAAAAATGTAATGTTTTATATAAATGAAAAAACAAGCAGTCATATAAAAAGCATGCAGATTATCAATACAAAATTGCATTATACTTTTAACGGTTTCGCTTATTTGCTTGCAACTTCGAATTTAGGTTGACATGAACGTGACACATAAGTTGTGACACTATTGTGGATTTCTGGGGCAAAATTCACAATGTTTAAAATTTAAATGCAATAACATATTGCTGGAATTTGGTAGAGCAACTACATAAGCATCAGCAAATTTAATATGCAACCCACTCTAACGAGCTATCCATTTAATGAGCCCTGCCAAGTATATACAAATGTGCTTATATGCTCATTTGATTTACACACTAAATATATACGAAATGCGGTGGCAAGAAGGAAAGATTGCAAATTGCATGCGGAATTCCCAAGAGTCTAATAACATCAAAACAAAGCAAAAACTTGCATGCAAGAGACATAAGGAAGTGGAGATACTCTTTCACTTTACCTTCAACCTAAATAAAATGTGGAATTGCAATTTATCTAGTGCTTTAAATTTTAAGTAGTTGACGAGGTGTTTGATAATATAAATTTTAATTTCTTTGTATGTATTGTGTTTTATTGCTTATATTTATTTTCAATGTATTAAAAACATTCCTAGTTAGGACCTACGTCTGTCGGTATTGTCCCAGATCGCTATAAGTTACCTCAATACAAGTTTATTTCGCCATAGCGAGTTTTTGCACCCTTTGCACTTTTGTGCTCTTTATCACATAGTTAGTTTGCCCGGCTTGAGTGATGTACTAGAACTGGGAGAGCTCTCGACGAATCTCAAGTCGTGATATAGCCGCGCAGTAACGAGCCACAGACCGTGTCCGTATTCGTCTTCGAGCCCCATGCCACGTGACTATATATAGTACTTGTAATAATGAGGAACGGCACAGGTCCACGGTCTCTAAGCATGAGAAATTTAATTTTAAGCCAGCCCACACATGGGCGCTCCACACACCACCCAAAGCACACCCTGCCCCATAATTGTGTATTCAAGTAAGAGATATGGGAGCTGAAAGAAGCTATATCAACGAAAGGGAAGCGGCAAGGGAAAGGTTGGGGCAAGGACCGCCTTAAATTAAGATAATGACACGTGAGGTATCGCCTCCTGGGGCGGCAGAGCGGTTGGTAAATTGCGATAACATAGAAATGGCCTGAATGGCGGCTCTCTTTAAAACACTTAACCCTTGACACAGACACCCTGCCCACCTTGCCCACCCTGCCACCTCGAACCACATTGGCATCGTCGTGGTAGCACGCATTCTTAAAGCGCAACTTGATGGCAAACTGCCAAAGAGTTGACTTCCTTGCGCGGAAGGGCGAAAGAATGTAGGACACGCCAATGGGCGGCCTGCTGCTGGAAAATTTAATTTTCTTCCAAGCTTATATAGCTCAATTGTGCACCTCACTTCTTCAGTTTGACTGTGAGTAATGCTTTGATCAAAATCTGTATACCATTTTCCACGCTCAACGCAAAACGCTGATGGTGTCGACAACGCTTATACATTTGTATAATAACTCATGATTCGTATTAAAGTCGGGTATTCTGAACAAACAAACTTTGATTGTTCCTTACGTATTGATTATTTTGATGAACATTAATAAAGCAATAATTAGCACACTATTATTGCATGTATGTTTATTTTCGTAAGTAAGAGTATATATTTTAGGCAAATGAAAGAAAAGTACAAAGAGCTTAAACAAACAAATAATTTCATACTTCCGATAACCAATGAGCAGAAAAATTCGCTATTTAAGGTAGTATCGCTTATTTGAATAGATAATATATGGGTGCTTATAAACACTTGCAACCCATTCAACACAATTTCCTGTTCTCACGCCAAGACGATTTCTTTTCGATTGATGTGGAAATCAGCCAATCAATTGGAAAAAACTGGGAGCATAAAATCACAACAGAAAAGTGAAATAACTGAGTGTAAATTTTCTGGTAAATTCGACTGACTGAATGTAGCCAACAAAATTATCATATTAAATGGCCGCAGGCTGTGCAAGAGTGTTAGATGTAGATTTTAATGTAAGCCTATTTATATGTGATCCAATTGACGTTATTTTCGCCAGGATATGCAGACTAGTGTCAGACGAAGAAGAATCAATATAGAAAAGAGGAAAAAGATGGAAAAGAGTGTGGAAGACAGAAAAGGAAGAAATTCCCTAAGGAATCCCCAGAGAGCGGTAACTACTAGACTCACAGAAAATCACACTTTTTCCACAAAGAAGAAACCCAAAGGGATCCACATCACCGCTAAAAGCTGGCAAGAATCTTAGAATCCTTGCTTCGGAATTTATTTTGCAAAGCGGCACTGTGGTTCAAATGTACATAAAAAAATGTAAGATGATAAGCTTTTACCATTTTTTAAGGAATTGAAAAACAACTAGTTATAAACAAAATATTGTTTTAATTAAAAATATATTTGCTATCATCAATATAATATTTAAAAAATTTTAAATATGATGCAAGATTTAATAAGTCTTAAAAATACACTTTTGTTTAAGCTACTTATTTTATATACTCTAAGAAAAGACCATTGTGAAGGTTAGAAACTTTTTTTTATTATTATTTATTTTATTAAATCTCGACATAAAGCGTTTATATGACACTGTGCAGCTGCTGCTTTATTTTCACATGTAATGGCATTTTAATTGCACGCTACAGCTCAGCCAAGTGTCTCTCAATTAAAAGTGTCTGCTTGGCTCAAAACGACATCCTGCTCGTTCTTCCTTCGGTGCCCCGTCCCCGGTTTCATTTCACCCACCCGTAATCTTTGAATGGCTGCGGAAGGAAAATGATGTCAGCCACATGTCGTAATTTGCGTGAGTCGAGGGGACAAGGGTATCCCCCGGTCCGGGTACCAGGAGACCAACGCACACACCACGAACCCAACTGATTCGCATATATAGTATCTGTTCATTATGCAGGGCGAAACGCGTGCTCGGCGAGATAAGATGTCCGGGGGAATATGCCGTGGGTTAATTGCCGGCGGGAAGTCGGAGTCCAACGGAGGCCTTGAACTTTAAGTCATCTATCTGTTGATCTCCGAACGATACGAAGTGAAATTAACAAATTAATTGCATTAACATAAAATTGTTTTATGAATGTGGCGCTTGGCGGCTGGAATCGAGCCAGAATCTTCGAGCGGCTTTCGGCAAAAACCCTTGAGTCTGAATGAGGAGTTCCGCTGGCAGAGATTTGGCCTACAACATCATTCACCCCAGGACTTTCTTCGATCGCAGGTTGGTAGATGTTTCATTACTGTATGATTTAATTCAAGTTTGATTTTTAGTGGCAGTCGAAACCGAAATCTCCATATTTTCTAACCTATCGCTGGCTTTTAGCCGGCTTCTTTGGCACTGGCGTTGTTAGTTATACAATTAAGTACTATCACAACGGACTTTGTTTCATCTATTTGACCAACTGGGGATTCATCTTGTGCGGCATTACGAGCCTTTTTGGTGCCATACTAGTGTCAGTCTATCACTGCAAACCGGAGACGTGGGGTAAGGTTACATAGTTCTATGTCTTTTTTTAATATGTAAATATTTTTTCCACTCAGTTCCACCCAGCTGTTTGATCAAGACTTATTGGGCCTGCTACTGGACTAATTTGCCACTGACTTGTTTGATTGCAATTACTTACTGGTGGACCATTTATCCCAACGATCGGTTGCCAACCAATTTGGCTAGGGTATCCGATCTCTATAACATATGGACACACTTATTGCCGCCAATTTTGTTCACAATCGATCATTTTCTAGTGGCGCAGCCAGCACGTCTGCTGCACTTTGTCTATCCAGTGGCCTTCTGCTTGTCTTACGGCGTTTTCACTTTTATATATTATTCACTGGGTGGCCGTAACATGTAGGGACTGCATTTTCCTACTCCTTCAAAAGAGAATTAATTAAGTTATTTATTTTTCAGAAACGGAATGCACTATATATATTCTTTTCTGGACTATAAAAAGCCGAAAATAGTTTGTGGAACCGTGGCAGGACTGAGCTTGATGATGGTGTCCTTGTGCACCCTGCAATATGTAGGCTATCGGCTAAGGACTTTCATAGCACGCAAGTGGGGAAAACTTCAGTGATGATACCCTAATAATTGCATTTGAATGAGGCGTGTAAAAAATTTTAAAATACAAATAAAAGCAATGTAGAGTCAGAACATCGTTGTTAGTATTCACACTATAAGATACCCCTTAAAAAAAACGTTATGTTTCTAATTCAGTCATGCCTATGATATCTGTGAAATATTTTGAATTAAAAATGAGTTCCGGCTGAGGACAATAAGCCCTGGAAAGCGGGACAAGCCTGGGGTATAATAAAGACCACAGAAAGAGGAGAGATATCAAAACAAATTTTGCTTATTTGTCCTCTGATATGTCGGACTTGTTTTGTTGTTTACGCCGTTCGCACGTGTCTGGAAAATTAAAAGCACTGCTTCTGCTGCTGCAACTCTAGTTCGTCCTTCTGTCCCATCGTTTTATTCCCATGGGTTGGCCGCATCATGTCGCCCGTATCTGTATCTGCTTGTATCTATCTTGAATAGTGTATCTCGTTTGTTTCTATATGTCCCAAGCTCTCATAATTTGTTTTGATAAAGTTTTCTCTGAGTTTTTCCAACCCATCTTTATAATATTTGATTAGTTTTGTTATTTATTTATTATTTTGGCTTGCACTGCGTGACTTTGGGGAATTCATGTTGCTTAAAATGTGACAAACAAGTTTTGTTTTATGTTGTTTAAGTTGTTTTCTATGTGCTTTAAACAAATTCCCATTTAAATATTAAACCTACCTATGAATGGCACCTGCAATTACAGTTGTAAATAATGTTGGCACGACAGCAACAATGAGTTGACTCATTGCTGCATTTTTCCATCCAGCCAACCCGCCACCGCATTAACTTCTGCTTCGATAAATAAACAAGTTGAGCTACTTAAGATTTAAGTTGTTGTTGCTGTTGTGGCTGTTGTTCCAGTCCTCGTCGCCCGTTGTTGTTGCAAGTGGTGCGCACACAAAATTTATAGTGAATACTTTTCCCCTCATAAACCGGAGCCACCCCTTCGGCGCCCGTGGCCACCCCTTAACTGCATTAACCCCTTCAGTCCGTTACAAAATTGCACATTACGTATACGCTACGTATGCTCACTTGAAGCATGAAACTCTTCAGCACAGTGCACACCAGCAGCTGCGCTGCCTGCGTGTGCGTTGGATAATAATATAAGCATATAAATGTTTATGTTAAATTAAATTGAATGCAAAAAGGCGGAAATGTTACGAAAATTGTGAAAATAAAAAATGAGGGAAAAACAGTGAATTCAAATGTACTTTTCGCCTTGTTGGCTGTGAAGTCAGGAAACGGTCGATATAATTGCCCCATGAATTGCGAATGGTGACGGAAATTTAAGATGTCCCTTTTAAGTTATGTTGGCTTAAACTGCCATTACCACCCACTTTCTATGCCAATGCAGTTGGCGGCTGTCAGGCTGAGTGCAGCCATAAATACGTTAACGTTCGATGTTTTAGGCGATGCCAGCTGCAACTATATGGCCCTGCTAAGTGGCTGCACTTTAGCAGTTCCCACCGGAGCCTGTTTCACAAGCCACTAAGCAAGGACACTTTATGGGGACGCTCTTTTTCAGTCCTCACATGTGGGGAAGTCGATATCTTTATTGGTGTATTAGCTTTCCGAAATAGGAATCACTAAAGTAGCTTGATGATGGCATGAAACATCTAGCAACTATACAAACACCTAAAGCTTGACTTTAGCATTGATTTTTAATATAATATCTATTATATCTATTTGTTTTGGAAATCAATTCTACCGTTTTGTAGGCTTGGCAGTACTATTAAACCATAAAGAGTCTTTAAATGGTCAAGCAGGCCTATAAGTTATTTGCTGATAATTAAAAATTAAAACGTAAAATTTGCATTTGAACTGGCAAGGCATTCAAATAACAATATAATGCTGAACTATTCCACAATCCGAGCTCAATGGTTATTGTATTCTGTGGAATGTTTCGGCTGCCGCCCGAGGCCTCAACCCAAGCGGCATTGGAATTTTATTCTTTACCAACGCATTCAAGTGTTAAAATATGTATATGAAATTGATTGGCTGATTAAGCACACACTTTACACAGCCCGCCCACACACAGTCGCTCTTTTTCTCCGCCCATTATTTATTTTTTTGCTGTACATTGTCTGGCCTCCGAAATATTCCTTTTTTGATTTGCTTCGGAAATGACGCAAATAACGCAACAAATTTAAGCCAGTCACAAAAATGTACAAAACCCACTCAGACGAGCTCACACACTGATAAACGCAAACACAAACATTAAACATACCTTCAGGACGGGTTATTTATGACAATAGGCATGTGAGAGGCAACAACAGGATGTTTTATATTATGCCAGGAGAAAATAAAGGACAACACACACACATCCGCTCACGTAGGTACAATCCCAATTTTGCATAAATTTCATTTAATGTATAGAGAACAACGGGTACTCGTGAATTGAAATTCGAAGAGATAATCTATTGGAAAAGTATTCATTTTAAAAAAAAGGTAAGCCCAACCAAAAAAACATAGAAACCAAACCATGTCATACTTGAACTAAGTGTCTAGACTAAGTATTAGCTGTTTATTTAATAGCACAAACAAATCAAAAAGGGCAATGACAAGTCTACCTATTGTTTATCAAGTTCTTGTTCATCCTTTCGAATAATTTTGAGAGTGAAATTTAATTGTGCTGCTCATTAATAGCATGTTGAATGGCCTAGAGCTCACCGGAAATATGTGATTTCCTGAAATAAATACATATTTGTTTCATATTCAAAAGTATTTCACGCAGGCTGGTAAATCAACAAATAATTACCCGAAGAAAAAATATTCAGGGAATGAAAAACTGATCTACAAAAGAATTTATTTGATTGAATTTTAATTTATTACTTGATTATCATTTTCGAAATCGCTGAATGGAGGTGGAAAGAATTTTTGTCCTTCGTCAGCGCTATAAGGGTATAAATGGGATAACAATAAACACTCATTTAAGGATAAGGTCATAAATCTAAGAAAGTCCATAATCGGAATCCCTTAAAAAATACGCAGGAGGGGAAACATTTCGGAAAAAAGCCCAAATAAGCAGCAAGCTGATGTTTCGACAAATAACATGGTATTGTAGTTAACTGTTAACTATTGCATGATTGCTTATTATTGCTTATTTTCCTTAATTTGGCCTTTTTTTGTTTTGATAGCCAGACATTCTCAGAAACGACTTCGTACTTATCTCTCAGTCACAGTCATTTTGGCTTCAAGCTAATAAAATTTATTCTGTTAAGGCATATGCATATATTCTCTGGCAAAAGTAGAGAGAGCAAAGCCAAAGCCAATCAAAGGCCAAACAATAAACAAGCATGACATTAAATAAATAAACAAATAAATGCCCAGACAAAAGACTTGAATGGAGGAGTCCCTGGCCAGGATACGGGCTCCAAGAACCAGAGTCAAGGAAGTGCCAGAATGAGGTCCTGCCTGGCAGACACGTTTTGCTTGCGAGAAAGGATAATGACGCGTTCGTTTCCCGCTGGATTCTCTTCACTTGCAAATGCAAGCGACAATATTGAATAAGAGGGACATCGACAGGATAAGGCTGCCCGGCACACAGGCATCATTGGTTCGGAGTTGCGGTGCGGAAATTGATTGAATGGCGTATTAAACTTAAGCCACACAAACACACGCGCTGGCATAAGCAAACATTTATCTTTCCCCCTTTTTGGCTCTGTTATTTTCTCTCTTACTCACTTCAATTTAACGGCTACTTAAGTCCATCATTTTGAATAATGTTGTGTATACCGAAAGGAATTCCGATGGAAGTCAATTGCACTTCAGATATTTGCGATATGTTTGTAAATATTTGATAATTTTTTATTTGTTCGCTTGGGGAATGTTATTGTGCTCTAAAAATGGCATACTTTTGATAAATTGCTATTCTATTTTTAGACTCCTCTGAAGGAATGCTGCCATTTAAAGAGACTAATGAATTCTCTGCCTGTTGTTTAGTGGAAAGAAGTCTTTTTATTATATACAATTTAAAGAATTCAAATTAAATGCCAATATCAAAATATACACATTTGAATTTGTCAATGATAATTCATTTTTAACAGGTAAGTACATTTTTAAATATAACATAGCTACAGTTACAATGCTTTCCAGGTTGTTTAAGTGCCTACTTATTTGACAGGCATAACAATGCGCTCCAATTTCACACTTTTCAATTCCGAAGGACCAGCAAAGTCCCCTTCTGTTTAGCTTACCTCCTTCAATTTAACGGCTACTTTAATCCATCATTTCAAATTATTATCTTCTCGCCCGGTGGCAAAGTTGGCAAGTTCCCGTGCACGCTCAGTTGGCCACGCATCAAATGGGCCCTCCATGGGCATTAAAAGGAGCCTTGGCGGTGCTACCTGAAAATCGGGCTGCTGATGGACAGCCAAGGGGAGGGAAAGGCCCATTAAAAGGCCACAGCACAGAACTGCTGACATCACGACCGACGCCGCCGATGTTGCCGGCCACTTGGGTGGCGAATTAAAAAGTTGCCTTGATAATCCTTTTGCAAAATAGAGGGGATTAAGTAAAATGCTGAGCCAGAGCCAGAAATTTATGCAGCCCAGGTGAAGCATTGGCTGCTGGCCAGGTGTTGACCATCAAGCTGGACGGGCCGAATGAAAAGTTTGCCGCGAGAGCACTTAAAATGTGCCACAGTGTTGCAATAATTACCGTTAAATGGTCACAGTTAAGAGCTCTTACGACGGATAAAGGGAGAATTCAATCTTGTGCAGCAGGTTGTCTGTTATTATCCTTGCAGCAGGGCAGCATCGCCATGTCCTTGGTGTTCCGCTGATGGCGGTAATTTGTAATTTCAAGCGGCGTATGATTAACTTTACGGCTAAGACGGGGATTAAGTGAAGTAAGGGAACATAATGTTTCCATTGCTCAAGACCTGACTACTTAGAGCTTTGCAGTATGAATTTGACTAGATTTTTTATAATTATAAAAATGATTACATATGACAATATATATAAAGTAAAACTGATTTTAATGGAAGATCTTTTTTAAACGTACTGAAACATTTAACGCAGCTAAAATAATTTTAAATTC